AAGCTACGTTAGAGAAGGAAAAGATAGCGAAGTGTATGTAACACGTTGCAGCATCGGCGAACGTTACGCCGCGGAGGAGACTCGATCGACTAGCGAAATGCACGCGAATAGAAAGTCGGGATCGGAGCGGCGACCGGAAGCAAGCATTTTTCCCGCGTCAGTTCGAAGCCCGCGCGGAGAAAGGCCGGCGACTCGAGCGATTTTCAGGCGGTTTCCTCCGGAGCGTAACCGGATTCCGGCGCGCGTGTTTACCGACAGCCGTCGATATCGAAAGTAAAAGGCGACTCGCCTTGTGCCTGTTCTTATGTGCCCCGTTCTCGACCAGTTTATCATGGTCAACCGTTGCGAAAGTGGAGTCGATTTCGTGCACGCCGCGCCATTGGCGTCGACGCCCGTCGTTTATTCCGACCGACCGTTTCGAAACGAGTTTTCGCCACGCGGTTCTTGCGAAACGCGCACGCCAACGTGACACCTGTTCCGTTCATGCTGCCCGAGCTGCCAGATTGCCGCTTTTTCATCGCACGCTGGAAAATACGGGGTAATGCTTGCGTATTAATCTCCAGCCAGCGATATTACGTCGCGGACGGCTCTCGCCAATGCAATAATTCCACGGAGAGAAATTCCGCCGTCGATCTGCATGGTATTCCAAGCTTCGCGTTTCGTTTAAATCGATTTAGGAAGTTTAGTCGAGTGCTGATATTTGATAATTCGACGAGAGTTGTCGAAGAGAGTTGCTTCGATTCGCAGGAATTAAAGTTCGCCCCTTCGACGTAGCGAGTTCGATAAATTTTGTATCTGTATCGAAATATTTAGATATATCTATGTTAGCTTAGGCGAGGGAGGAAGGAACAATCGTTGAATATTTCATGGAAACTTTTCAGGGACACGAGCTTGAGCACGATGGCGGAAGTGCCCTCGAGGTACCACTTCGCGGCGCATATGGGTCAACTGATATCCGGCTTGGAAGGTCAGGGATGTCATAATTTCTACCCCACCTGCCCGCTGCCCGGCTCCAGCGTTCTCAACATGATGAAGAAGATCCGATTGCGCTGACGCGACGAAATCGCGTCTACGACGGATGAAAAATACGACGACGTAACCTGTGATATCGCAGACGATTTTTCTTGTAAAGTTGCCACGACAGGGTTTCCCCGAAACCTCGAGTAATTCTCTCTTCAACCCCGAAACGCGAACCTTCGGGGTGAAAGACGACGTCGCGAGAGAGAGAGAGAGAGAGAGAGAAAGAGAGAGAGCAAACGAAGAGATCACCTTTTCGCGATTTTTCCCAGATGTCGAACTTCATTCGTAACTCAAGATCGTTCTCGAGATAGTTAAGAGACTTAGGTTAAGTATACTTAAGCAACGATTTTCATCGCCGTCGTACTCGATCCCGATGAATTCGATTAACAGATAGCGTTCGATCCGTGTAAGATAATTTAGAACGCGATTAAGGGGGTCGACGAGGGTTGAACCGGTCCCAGCAATCGCGTTCGTTCATTAGGATAATAAACTCGGATCGATTATTTATTTTCTATCGATAAAACGCCGCGCTTGACTGTACGTTCCTGCGTAAAGCGTAGGATCAATTCTGTATTATGAAAACTCCTGTTTCTGACTGTCGAAAATAAAACTCTTTCGAATATACTAAATCTATGTGAATGTATCGCAAAATCCTTATGCATTTTCGCAAGCACTATACGTTTCTCTATCCCCTTACCTGTGAACCACTAAATCTTTCACGACCGATAACCAACGGCTGAAAAAGCGAAGGAAGAATCCTAAAAATAAAAATAAAATAAGCGGAGATGCTGTGAAGATAACCATAAGCATATTAACCGTACCATCGAATGGAGAATTTTTAAGGAAAAATTAGAAAATGGTCTCTTAAACTATCCTACTATTAACGCGATATTAAAAATTCGGAAAGTGTCACAACCCCTGCTCCTTCTCCGAAATAATTCCCTCCTATCTTAGAAGGTAGCTTCCTCGTCCAAAGCCGCGTTGCATAATGTCTCGAAGGCACCTTTGCTAATTCGCCGACAATTACGGGACATTTTCCGCGCTGCCGGGAATTTCTGGCGTAATAGCCGTTCGCACGAGTGGTCGTCGCACGAACTGATTCGAACGAGAGCCCGGCCCTTATTTACCATCGGTGTACAATATTTAGCGAGTCGTATAAAACGTTCACAAAGGCCGAGGTAATGGCTCTTTCGCCGGAACCCGCTCCTTGTAATTAATCCTCGCTTACTCGCTCGTGCGCGCGCGCCGCCGATGCGACGACCAAAAAGCCCGCTCTAATTTCCGCCATACCAATTTATCCATTCCGTAGCTCGTTATCGTCTCGAGCTTAATCGACGCTTTCCTCGAAAATTAAGAGAAATCGGTAGCCAGTGCTCGATTTCCCATAGCTCGCAGCGATAATTCATTATCAGACGCTTTCCACGCACAAACTTTCAATCCGCGTGTCGATCATTTTATTTAACGCTTTGATTAATATTTCCAAACTCTTCGTAGAGAATAATTGATGCGAGTTTAATTGCAAATTGCGGGGTTATTTAAATCACTGTATTCCGTTCTCGCACGCTCCTGCGATTTCTGTGTTCTCTTCGGTACACGGGAAGATTAGCGTGTTCGAAGAGTGATTGATACCTGTATCCTTCATTAGAGAGGAATGTAAAGTACTCGTCGATATGGAAAATTTCCACCAATTTTTCGTGGACAGGGTAATCACGGTTTATTCGATCAACTTTATTGCGAAGAACAACGGGAGTCCAGTTCCAAATGGCGTCTCTTAATCCACCGAAATTAAATTTCTATCCAACGGCTGTCTGTATGAATTTCGAGCAATTAAAATGGACGGTGATTAGCCATCGTTTATAGTCATCAATCGGTACTTAGTCGCAGGTCGCATTTGCAATCGCGAACGAGACTGTACGGTTATTATAAATCGATGACGAAGAACGCTCAGCGAAATTTGCCATCCCGAAAAGCTGTTTCCTTCAACCCCTGAAAGCATCCCCTGCAAACGCCTTCCGCTTCCTGCGAGCAGGCGTAATTCTTACGGCGGCGATTTCGCTGGAAAACAATCGTAACAATTTACAGCTGCGTCGGCCGTGTCGAGAAGTTATTGCAATAATCTCCGGCGCCTTTATCGGCTTAAGCACTATGCCAAGCGTTTCCCGTAACGATCGCGAGGAGAATCGTGCCAAGAACGACTCCGAGCCGTTACGATCCACGGTGTCATGGCAGAAATGATCGCAGGCGTTTCGTTCCTCGCGCCAACTCGCGAGCAAGCGTGATCCTCGCGGAAAAACGGCCATCTCCCGCTGTGACATTCGCGAACCGGGGTCGCGACGCTACCAGACGCCTCAGGAGCGGGCGTCGATGGCGCGGAAACGAGATACCAGTGTCGTCGCTAGTGACATCGTCAATTTCCCACGATCTTCCTAGTCGAAGGAATTCCTATTTTTTCGCTGTAAAATTAAATAAAAAATATAGAAAGTGAATTTAAAATGCGGTTATTAGACACGTCAACGGGAAGAGGATTTTCGAAAACAAGTATGGCGCCGGGAACGCGAGGAATGCACCGATTGTTCGAAATTCGTGTTCGAAGGAACCCTAATTGGAAGCTAATTGCTGAAACCCCGATTACCGTTCGTTTCCTAGTACGCGATACAGTGGGACGATTGCAGTTGTCGAAGGGGAAAGCAATTCCTGCGTAGGAAGTCGCTCGCGAGAGGTAAAAGTGCATCGGTGGCACACATTCGGATCGACGTGAACGGGGACACATAGGAAAACCGCGAGCATTGAGCAACGATTCGAGTAGGTTTGCGCGTAATCGGTCTCGTTCCCCTTGCCACGCAAGAAATCGATTATATTCTTACGGAGTAGCTGCTGCGTGATCGCACTTAAGTGGCTGCTGACACCATTTCCATCCACTATTACGAGATGGAACTTGAAAAAAAGCAACGCTGACACAGCTAATCAATTAAACACGTTCTCGATCCCTAGATTCAACCTAGGTAAACCCTTCAGGCTCGACAAAATCTTCCATACCTTCTATCTAGAGAACTTTTGTTCTTCATCTACGCTCTCCTATCTATCCGACTAGGTTCATATTCGAAAAACTTCCATTTCCTACAAAGCCACGGGTCAAAAGATCATCAACTGTCCTAGGCTCAAAGAAACCCCAGAAATTACTTCCAAGACCCCATTTTCTCTTCACCTACGCTCCATAATGGACCCAAATTCTCGACGCCTACGTTCCACGACGATTTTCATTCCACGCGCGAGCAACCACCCCCAAAACTGGAGTCCTCGACAGTCGTTAACTCCAGTTGCCACGAGGCTTTCGATTTCCTTCGACGACCGACATTCCGTGTCAACTTTCCACGTGGAAAGCGGTGCCGGAGCGTCGACGTGTGCGGAACCGTCACGACGACCTTGCGGAGGCCACGAACCCCCCGAGGAAGAGGATCCTATGGACGTGACGTACGGGACCTGGTGGCGCACTAAATGTCGCAATCGGTCGATCGCCGTTCGTTTGAACGCGAGGTAGGGGCCGAACACTTTCTCTCGACGGCCGGCTCGAACCAGACGGCTGCAGGCCTACGGTCGCCGGAGGAACACTCGACCACGAGTTTTTACCAAAGGAACAGCCAGTCCGCCGTCACCTTTTCGACCGGTGCTCCTCTGCCTCGAGACTGTCACGTAGAACAGGTCCGCGGAACCGATCTCCGCTGTAGTTTTGCCTCTAGTTGGCTCTTGATGAGTTGGATTGGAATGGAGACTGCTGGTGAAGTGTCGATGGAGATTGTGCATGGTCCTCGTGGTCGTGCGAGTGTGTCTAGTTGTTTGGAAGTTGCGCGAATGTTGATTGGATTGTGAACGATGGTGGCATTAATGTACCGACTTCTTCCGAAGGGATGAAGCGTGGTGTGGCTAGATGAGGTGGCTTTAAAGGGGAATAATTCGATTGGTCTGTTAGATAGCGATCCGAGATGCGTCTGACAAGCTCTTCCTCCACCCTGGGATACTGCCTCTTGCTGGTGACGTTGGTGAACGCGGCACCGAGTCCGCAGGAACCCTCGTTCGAGCTTCCGGTTCAGCTGATCGGCTTCCCCGTGATCATCGCCGCTGTGAGGATCTCCAACTTCGTGAAGAAACTCGCGTACTCGCTGAACCCAGGTGAATAGAAACGTACTCGCGAATACGTGTTACGAAAACTGTTAATTATTTTCTTAATTAACAATTCCGAGTAACCGGTGTATCTAAATTACACGGCACCTTCGGAGTACGCCGAGAATGTTCATAAATACGGAATCGAGGGGCAATCAGTCGAATTTCAAATTACGCACAATTAATTAATTCCAGCTTAAGCAGCGAGTGAAAGAAACTGCATATCCGACGAGCTACGCTGATTATCAGCGTTCCGCGATCGGACGAGCAAATGCAAGAACGCAACCAGTCTCATCCAATTAAACGGTAACAAGCCGGTACGCTATCGCGTTAAGAAATCCGAGGTGGATGGTTGCCGTTTTCGAACGGATCGCGGAAAAAGCGATCGGCCGCACGGGCAAGTTCAATGTTCTTGGATCAGGCGGGCAGTCGCGATCCACGCGATGCATCGTCGATCACGGGGGCTAGGTGGCCGATCCTCGCCGCGTAGGTGACTAGGTGACGGCCCTCTGGCCCGTAGTTTCGCGCGTGAATCGAATGGACGAGCAGCGAAAGCGAAAGTGTTCCACTTGTTGCGACTTCGCCGGAATCCCGTGTAACATCCGCGTAACTCGCCTTCGCGTTTCCTGGACGAGCATGTTCACGCCGCTGTCTGCTTTCGATTACGTCGACGGCCTGCGCGCTCGCGGAAAAATTTCCTTCCTGTTGTTGTTTGCTCGGCTCGTTAGCGTCAATTGGGAAATAAATAAATTGCAGATTGGTAAATTTGGAATTATATAATTGGAGAAAATAAATAAATAAATTTCTAAAGAGTTTGACGACAATCGGAGTTTCTGTTTTAATATCGCGCGATTAAAGTGGACGTCGAAGCTATTGGAAGGTAAGACTCCCTGGCTCGAGGATTTACCGGTAAATAGGCTTGAATATCGATAATTCGACAGAACGGGGATCTAGATGTCGGATATTTGACGAGCAGTTAACGATGACAGGCAAACACGCGACCGAGGATGGACTTGTATCGGACACGTCAATTTTCGTTAAAGTGAACGTTGAAGAAGCCACGTCGCTGAGTGGTCATTAGTTAGGGATAGTTATATGACGGTTTTGAATGATCGAAACGAGGATTGTCGCTCGGATTGATGACAGTAACCTGTCTAGGTGTATAGCCGTTTGCATTGGAACTCGTATACTGCATTAACTCGACTGACAGACATGTTCCGTGGAAATTAACGTCATAAGAGAGAGAGGCATTATAAATAGAATAGCTCGAGAGAAATATGCGAAACGAGTAACACAGAGAAAGTATAAAACGAACGGTTATCGAGAATGCTGTACAAGGACGGCTTGAAAATTTTCGAGAATCATGTTTATACCGTCGTATGGGTTTCGAAAGGATTTCGACACTTACCACCGTTTACCTCTCGTTTTCAGAGACTTACGTCAGCAGAGTAAGACGAGACCTGCCTCTGGTACACGACGAAGAAATCCTAGACGTTAGCCAAGTGGAGAAGAAGTTGGTGTCCGAGTTGGGCGGCAACGTTTGCATCTACGAGAAAATCTGCGTCAAGTATGCGGCCCAAACTCTTCAGAAACGGAGTCGGGAGCGAGCCCTGGACTGGGACGTCGTCTTCAGGTACACTTTGTCGACGTGTGTCACAAATTTACCGTCATTTCTAATTTTAAGGGCCAATTTTGCACTTTAGAACCACGCTATACGACTTAAGTTCCGATGGCACGTGCCATAATCGAGAGTAGAGTCGGTCGCGCGTCGAACCACTTCGTCCGGACACTGCGAAGAATAACACGAAACTGAGACAGAACGACGTCGTTGAAAATTAACCACGGACAGGTTACAACGCGACCGTGATGTTTACATTGGACCCTAGCTATGACTCCGCTCCTGGTATTTACGTTAGAGCGACGTGTCTTCAACTCGAAAATTTCCTGTTCGTCTTCCTGCTTCGATCGCTCTTTTACCAATCCTTGCCAGGCAATTTTTCACCTCGCAGGTAGACCTTCTAGACCAGATTGCGTTATAAATCTACATCTACCGCGCGATGCTTAAAAATAGTAAAAGCTGTACCGGTAGGATCATATCCATAAGCCATCTTTGTATCAGACCAGTGACTAAGAGCTTGTTACAGGTAGCTGTATCAATAGCCAATTACAGTAGCCTATTACTAGCATCGAGCAGAGCAGTTTTCCCAAGACATCGCGTGTAGCGCTCTATTTCTCAAACCAGTCTTCGAGACTTGTATTTTTCGTGTCACGTTGCACGGTTATTCCTCTCTGATCTTGCCCTGTTTCGATCCCTCGCTTCAGGGATCACGTCTTACCGCAAAATCTGGCCCACTTTTCTACCCCGGACTATGAGACTTCCGGTCTTCTCGGTGATCCAATTTTTTCGAGTTACTAATTACAAATTTCACTTCGAATTGCCTTCGTTCTGACTTTGACAAGAAATTTCGAGAAAAGAACGATTAACTCAACGCGTTAGCATTCATCGAGTTACTAATTACAAATTTTACTTCGAATTACCTTCGTTCTGACTTTGACAAGAAATTTCGAGAAAAGCACGATTAACTCAACGCGTTAGCATTCCCTGTTTCCCACTTATCCGCCATCGACCCCGTTTCTTCTTTGCGTAAGCTTCTGTTCCTGGAGGCTCGATCGTCACGACCCGTATAGTTTGCATTCGCTTACAACGTCATTCCCCGTCATCGCGAATTCCAATCCCGTCCATTTGCATCGCGTTTGTTACTCGAAACGGTATCGCATTCGCCTAATCGGTAATCACTCCTCACCTTTCCATCAGCCGTACGCCTAATTCTAAGCTCGCTAGATTTCTCGCTAAATCACTCGCTAGATCTTCTCTCGCTCCTGACAGCGATCGATTGTTGCACGATCTAACCTCGGTGGACCCTATCCGAAGCAGCATCGGTAAAACAAGAGCGATCGCGATCGATAACGCGGTTTCGCGAGTGCATCCTCTCGTGGTACTGTCCACGTAGCCGCCTTGCGTAACCACGACCCTGAAGTTCACGGCCCAGGGCATCGGCGATGGCGAAGACTGGTTTTCCACCTTCGTTTCGCTCGATCGACTTGCGAAACGCCGCAGATAGGAAGCTTAATAACTCACTCGTTAATGCATAGTGGAAAATTACTGGCACATTTGCGCGACCAGCCGTGAACCGATCAAACGTGTCGCTTGTCTCTTGCTCGTCTTCTTTCACTGCGTTTGTTCTCCTTTCCCTCGCGTGCTTGTTGTCAATCGTGTGACAGGATACAGGTTCTTCTCTTCGTTTTCTTTTTACGCTCAGAGTCGCGTTCAGGTGAGAAGGGGAAGAAAAATTTTGAGACTTGCAGAGAATTATGGGAATTCTTTGGAACTTGAGGAGCGATGAAAGAGGTTCGGGTATTTTAGCGAGACTCGCGTAGGTGTTGGAATGGACAGATAGTTGGGTGCAGGAATATTTATAGTCGTTTGTCTACGTGTCCAATGGTTCCTCCGAATTTCATCAACGCGAGTCTCCGATGTCTCATCTACTCCTACAAAATCCAACAATATCGTATCAGCCTTCGATTGTTCGTTCGACGAAGCCCCCAGCCCTCGTCCCACTTACCAAACATCGGGATTCGCAATGTCGCAATTCCAATTCCGCGTCTGCTGTCGCCCCCATCTTCAGTTGGAAACTCGCGTAACAGCCTTTCCGCGATCCTCGTCGCGTCGATTCCTCGGGTCGTAACTTCCGCGTAGAGGAACCTCCACCTGCTCGTAAAAGTCTGCATGTAAAACCAACGAGAGATCCATCTCCGTCTGCCTCCGCTCGCTGTAACAGACGTCGCGTAAATTCCACGGATTCCAGCGATAACTCGCCGGGGATGATCGGTCAGATAAATCGTGGGGTTGCAACGACGGTGGCCTTCGTTCGGAACGGCCGAGCACTTTCTTCCAACTAGTAGAAGCTAATAGAAATCCGTGCTACCGGTTCTTCGTCCGAGCCAGCCGGCCACGAGCTCGTACTAAATTCAGTTGTAAGTAACGCCAGCGGCAGATAGCCCTTAATGGCGGTCTCCACGAGCGACCTAATGCATCCTGATAACTCTCTCCGTCCACCCTGCGCCCCTCCGCCTGTTCCGCCGTCGGTTCAGCGTTTTACGAGCGTCTCGAGCAACCCGCCTTCGAATTCGAACGGCTTATCTGCGATTTCACGGAGCCGAGATGGCCAGCGCGTGTCGTCGCAGACGAAACGCGTCGGTTAATCGCTTCTGTCACCTGTAGGGGCAAGATGGAGGTCAGAGGGGGCGGTTCCAGGGAAACCGGAGGATGTATCGAAGGTTGGAGCTGGCAGGGAGAGGTTCTGCGAGATTTAACGGAGCATGCACGAGGGACTGGAGGTCTCGGGTTCCTTGGAGCAGCCATGGGGGCTGAAGGTTGACGGCTTAAGGGGTTCTCGTGGCGGTCAGCGCGTAGAGAGGTGTCTCGTTGTTAGGACGATGTCAGGATCTAGGATAGAGATCGGATTAATCGTTGGGTCTGAAAAAGTAGAGAGATGTCTCGTTGTTAGGACGATGTCAGGATCTAGGATAGAGATCGGATTAATCGTTGGGTCTGAAATAAGGGGGGAAATGTTCTCGTATCGGGATATAAAGGCTGAGAAAAATGACACTGAAACGGAGTAGCGATATTTTCAGTACACGCCCATAAATTCCTCTCCATAACCACCGCGCAGTGATGCACGTTGGTCTTGCGACCGCGGGAGAAAAAGCCACGATCCAGTTACTTTGCAACCTACCATCGCGATTTATATTATACTTGCCGGCCACCGCACCAACACTCGCGACGCTTTCACAATCGGGTTCATTAGATGGTAACGTCTGGGATTCGTCGTTTTACAGCGAGTACAAATCATCGGCGAACCCGACGAAGGAGAATTATTTATTGAGCGTGTTCCTGGGCGACATCATAGGCAGCCCGCGACTCTGTCATCAGCTGGCGAAGCGAGGGAGAGGCTGCGACGAGGCAACGCTCTCGGATTAACTGTAAACCGTTTACCATTTGCGAGGCCCTGTACAGATTGTAAATATCGAAGCGAGGAGTGTTCCCGGTTTCTCCGCCTGGATCGTTAATCCTTGGCAGCAGTCGGCTGTGGAAATTGCGACGAGGATAGAGGTGAACAGAGAGGACTGATGATTTTAGGATTCGTAATTAATTGTTAATGCTTTGTTACGTGATGCGCCCTGCTTCCACGAGATTCGCTGATTTATCGTACTTCGTCGTCGGCGGATCTGCTGAATCTGAATTAAACGGGTATAGGGAGATAATAGAATGTTAGATGAAGAGGGGATATTGACCTTTTGGAACGGTGTATTTTTAGTGTATATAGATACTCGTGGAAAAGGAAATTATTTAACGCAACACACGCTGGCTAGATTTTAGCTTCACGGATGACGGACGAATAACGAAGAAATTATATTCAAAACTTGTAATATTTTTGCAAAATTATATATATTCTCAAATCCTAGACGAGTTCCAAATTTCTATAGTGGTTCATTTTAATTTTTTAATCCCTACGTGTTAATTATACAAAGCTAGGTAAGCGAAATGCGTAGAAGTTCAGAAATTAAAAGCGAATTACTATGATATTTTAAGGCTCAAAATTCCGGTTCTTGCAAATTCATATGTATATTTGTCGAATGCCAAAATAGATATGGCGTAACGTTAAAAATGCGTATTCGTTTTACTCGACGCGATTACGTAAAAATTTTTTAAATTTCGAAAGCGTTGAATGTTTAAAAACGTCCCTGGAATTCTTGCTAGAGCAACATGTTATATATTAAGGTGCTGTTAACTAATGAATAAAGAGTTATTTCGAAGGAAGACACGCGTGTTTTAACTTCGGTGAATGGTCAAATGCGGGCATCCTCGAGCGTGCACGCGCGCGAAAAACGGTCACGCGGAGTGAGAGTAGCCTGCGATGACGTTTCTTCCTACCTACGCCTGGTCGGGCCAGCTTGTGTACGAAGAACGCTTTCGAAGAAAGTTCCAGTTGCCGTGGAACTGTGACACGATCATCCGTGAAGCGAAACGTCGTCGTGTTTCGGCGTTCAACGCGATAACGCGGTGCCATTTTCAACGGATTTTCCGTCATCCGACATTTCACGGACGAAATTTACGACTCGGTGAACGCGAAAGTTATCGCAAACTCCAAATAGGCGAGATAAACTCGAAGAAATCGAAGCAAACTATGGTGATCTTGGAAAAGTTAATCGAAAAATTCCATGAAAAATTCGCGAAAGTTAAATATTAATAGAGGGAAAAATTCATCGGGAGAGAAGACAAATAGATCAAAAATCGCGAGAATATGTTCAGATTCATCCTCGTTGCTGTTCTTCTGCCGCACATTCGCGGAGAGGATGGGGTTCCAAGGACTCGTCGCGAAATCGAAGGAAATCGTTACTGCGACTTCGAGGAAGCTCGGAGGAACTACAACGCCACTGATTTATTGCGGTAAGTATAGGCAACTCGGGGTAAGTGTCGTAAATAGAATGTATTATAAATGTGGAAGAAAAATTTTGAGCGATTCAAGCGGAGAACAACGTTGATGGCGTAGGTGTATCGACGAATTGGCAATCGATCTCGTGGATCGAGAAAGTGGCGGTCTGACGAATGGAAAAGGTCAGTGGAACGGGTCCACGGGCAGGCAGATCTCCTTCATGGACATTTTCTCGAGTATTTTCGACAACGTTGCAATGGTACGTTGGAAATTATACTTATTCTTATTCGTGTATTTTCAAGTCGAATTCGAGCACTTGTCAAATTCCGCCAAAGAGGAAAGTTGCTTCGGGAATGACTCGATTTTTATCGAAATCGCTATTACACTCGGGGAGCAATTATTTCGAAACAAAATCGAAAGACAAGCAGAGGGAAATGGAGCGAGGACGCCGTAAAAGGCATCGCGCGAGTTTATTAGTTGGGACGTTCCTAAATTAATAATAAATTACCTCGTGGAATTTAATACCGAGCTTGCTGCTGTACGTGAAACTCTTCCAATTACTCCTCGTAAAGAGTCTAATATATTACCAATTACGGGCTATTACGAAACTACACGAAACCCTACCAAATGCTATAAATTAATTTTAACTCCAGATATTCTTCAGAGTCCCTAATAAGCAAATTCCCGCGCGCGATTTGAAAGCCACCGAATTGTAAATCCGTGGGTAAAAAGTAGAATTGTCTAATCCAGTAGCAAGGCAAAGATCCATAAAGGGAGGGAATAAAATTTCAAATTCTCGGCATAGGCATTCCTCTCGACATATTCAACGGCGCGATGGAAACAACCCAGTCGTTCTCCATCCACGCCGTGAATCCCGGAACTTTTCTGCTTGCAGTCGCCTCAGACGGGCTCCCTTCCGGCGTACTCGACTTCCGACTACCAGCAATCGAATTATCCGAGCGGAACGGTCGCTCTTTCGCCGGGATTCCAGCTGAATCTACTCGACGCCCTGTCCACGATATCCCGCCACGACGACTACAAGTGTGTGCCCAGGATACTCTGCGAGATGGCTAGCGGGAAACTTCCTGGAAGATCGTTAGGCAAACAGGGCTCCGGCTTCTTCGAGTTCCTTGGTCGAAACGTTTTCACCGAGTACGCCTCCTGTCGCAGTATCGATCTGTTTCTCCGTTAAATTTCCTCGCTCTTCCACGAGGAATCGTCCCATCCAGGCCCCCAGACTCATCTCTTCTGCTTTCAGCTGGCTGGCCAAGTTCGACGTCGCTGGCTCGTCTGCGCTGTTCAACTTCGGCAGAGCTATGATCCTCGGCTACAGCAATCGAGGAAATTCAATGGCGTGCTACGAGGCTTTCCCCAGGTGCCCCAGAGACACCAATGGCCTGGTCTATTATTTGAACAACTACAACGGCGGCTTTTTCCGGCTCTTCAACAGGCTTCGAGGCGGGAAATATAGAACGTCCGGTAGAGTACCTGGACAACGAGGTGAGTAAGTCGAGATCGTAAGATGGTAAACGTGGATGATTAAATCCGTTCGAATACCGTAATTTCTCGTTCGACTAGTCGATAACTACCCGAAGACCGAAGTGAGAGAGAGAATAGTCGCCGGAAGCATGAAAACGTACGTCCAGCACGCACCAGTCAGTGACGTGGTTCAGTTCCCAGTTGTAAAGTACCAGGAGTACCTGAAGGAGTATCCGAGATACGACGAAACGAGGATCAACAACGAGATCATTTTCCCCGATCAAAGAGAACCCGACGCCGAACCAACGTCGAACAGCGTGCAGAACGGATCGCCAAAGTCGGAGTGGAGCGTCTGGCAGCAGAACGGCGTCGGATTCTTCCCCGAGGTAATCGTAGGGAGTATATGAAATAAAAAGCTGGACACTCTCTATTAACTATACGCATTTCAGGCGAGTGACGACAGGAGGTTCCCGCGATTCCGGTTCCCCTCCAGCTTCACGGCGCCGTAATCCCGTCGATAAAGAATCCGAATACCTCGACTAAATACGCTGCTAATTAAATAAAGCCTCCCCTGGAATCGCGGTACAAGGTACTAAATTCCTTAACCGGTCTTTAAACGATAACAGGCACGATCGAATATCGAATTTCAATTTTCCATCGAGCAAACCCGGAGATCACGCGTTGCAAATTCGCGGATTATCGTGGAGCAGAGAATCGAGGGGAAGACGGGGTACAGGTTGCCGCGTAGGACAACGTCGTTTATTTCGTCGGCGTCGCTCCCATCGGGCATTTTCTATCCACCTGTAAGCTCATAACAGGAAGTCCCGAGTGGACGGTGAACGCGATGTTACTGGCGCGGACGCCATTTGTGGAAACAGCATGGGGCGCCGTTAGAGCACCGACAACTTGTCCAATGAATCTGCGCCGGAGTATGAGCCGCTTTATGTCTCAGTTACGCGGCTCGATAAATTGTATTTTATCTCGGTTCGATTTCCTGCTCGCTGCCGCGTGTGCGTGTGCACAGGTGTGAGGACTTTTTCAAGACGGGATGAAGGATGATGGAAGAGGGTACGAAGTATGTGGAGTAAGAAACTGGCAACAAAGTTCAGGCTATTGCGACAAAGTTTGAATACGCGATTAATGAACTAGCAATGCCATTTGTTATCGCGATTTAATAAAGAGTTTTATCTAACGATATTTATCCAGCTCTTGTAATTTCATTTACTCCGAGTATAGTATAACAATGCAAGAGTGAGTGTTCGAGTAGGTGTTTCATGAGAATAAAAAGACAATGCACGGATATAAATAAAACGGATAAATATTACTATGAAAAGGAATAGAAGGTAAAGAAGTGATGAATAACTAGATAAACATACAGATAACATAACAGATAAACCAACACCAATTTCAATTTCGCAATCCCTACTGACCACGCTCCGTGAACAGTGGAAGTTGCCTAGAACCCGGTCAAAGCGAAGCTTCCTTTAGAGTAGCCAAAATTCGTCCGCACGTTGTAGAAAATCGTTTGGAACTCGCGGAAACTCCGCGAGGACCACAGACAACACGGGAATCGACTACCCGCTTGAAACAAATTCTCTTCTCCCAGGACCGCCAATTTCTCTCGCGAAAGTGCAAACGTCCGCAGCACGCGTTCCCCGGAACTTTTTCCACGAGGTTCACGCGCGCGACTCGGGCTGTTTCTGTGAAAAGAAGGAAAAGGGAGGTGCTCCGATGGCGGAAAAAAAGGAACGGCGCAGAGGGGGAGCAACGTGTAATTATTTTATCCTTTCCAGCGTGTAATTCGAGGCGTGCTCGCGGCCGAGAGGCGGCCGGCGATCGCCGTAGCCCGGAGGGCTGTGTGCCTTGGACAAGGCCAAACAGGGTGCAACTGACAGCGAAAGACAATTAGCCTTCTGATACATTCGATGTCGCCCGCCGCGGCTCGGAACAAGGCGTTTGCGGGCGTACGCAACACTTTGGGGTGTGCCCGATTGTTCCTGGCAACCGAACGGTCCTCCGACACGGCTTTTCAGGCGTCGCGTAATTGAAACGCTGATTTTTGTATCGCCCTCCGATGGGGGGTAATTCTCCGCTGGCTTTGTGGCAGACGCTGCGATTTAATTCGCCAGATTGGGGATCATTGGGGTGCTTCCTTCTGGGGTTTGTTTAAGATGCAGCTGAATTAGGACAGGAAGCTGCCGATGTTGAAGAGATTCGTCCTTTGTTTCCGTTCGTTGTGCTGGAAAAGGTTTAATGAGGAAACTTTTGGGGATATTTGGAATTTTTTTTTCTTTTTATTTCTATCGTTTACTATTTTATTTGTAACAATGTAAAATAATTAAGAACTATTTGGACAGTAGTGTCCTAGGAAATATTTTTAAAATTCTTTATAAAAGTACCTCGTGTCTCGCGAATATCTTTTGGCATTTTATTGATATCTCGTTTGTGGTACTGAAAAGGTTTACTGGGGAAACTTTTTAGGATATTTCGTATTTCTTTTCTGTATTTATCTAGATTAATTTGAAATAGAGAAACTATTTATACAATCGCGTGCTCGAAAATATTTTAAAAAATTCTCTTCTTAAAATATTTGTTCAGTTCATAAAAGTACCACTTGTGAAAGGAATATTTCTTGAAACTTCGATACGAGGAAGAATACACATGATCTTATTCTGCTTCCTACATTCTCAAAAGTATTAGGAAATTATCCTCCCCGAACCAAAAACCATTGTCAAAAGAATATTTCCTTGTCCTATCTCGATATAAAATAGAAAAATCATTTATATACGTCTATTTTATTTCTTGTGTCCTCAAAAGTATTTTAAATATTCCTTTCTCAAATCAAATACTTCGGCGTCCCAAGAAAATGTCCCATATCGAATCCTCACCTGTGCAAAATATAAAAATCATTTACATAGATTGCTAATCCATGAATTTTCCATATTGCGAAAAAAATAAAAGAAATCCACTTGCCAAAGCAAAATGATCCGGTCGCCCCACGAGATGCAGCATCCCCCTGAAAGCAATTCTCAAGCACGGCCCCACGTCGGACGAAAATTGAACACACAAATCAGGGGTAAACGGTTAGCAGACCAAACTGGTGGTCGTGGCAAAGGAGCGTCGCGACGCGCGTCGACTCCCGCCGTCATCGTCGTCGGCGACGACGTTGCCCGTAATCTCGCTCTATTAGGGCGGTATTATTTTCCGTGGTAGACATCAAAGAGGATTTCCCGCGGGCTCATTGTATCGCGGCGATAATTCCTCGTTATTAGGAGCGGTGCCGGGAGCGTTGGTCTCATGTCGGCTTACCACACCCCAAGTGCCGAAACAAATCCTCCCGAATTGGAGCCGATGCAAAGGAGCCTCGACGCCAGCCAGCGATGACAAAGGGGGGAACGCGATCGTCGCGACTAATCCCCGTGAAAAATGCGACTCAGGTGAACCAGGTGAGGAAGATGGAACGACGGGAAATCGAATTTTCAACGAGCACGGCCATTCGCTCGATCAAGTGTTCCTGATCGGATAAAAATAATTAGATACCTTCAGGGGTGGATATACGGGGGCGCTGTGGTGATCCGCTGCTCGGAAGCAGCACCATTTTTGTTGTTGATGGGTGTGGAGTGGGTTTTCGGGGGTTGGCGAAATTAGGGTGAAAGTGGTCGTTGGTTCCTCGGGGATGCTTTATTCGCTAATAGAAACGAGGAACGGTTTTTACGGAAAGAGACTATGCCTCGAGACTGGTTTCCTGTTTATTGCGAAATATCGGATATTTTGAAGATTCAGGAGATTCCATTCTTGGCTGTTCTTTTTATTGGTATCGAAACCGCAGCGAAGCGGAGGAGCTTTTTCAAATTAAATCCGATAACACTGCGGTCGCGTATATGCAGTCGGAAACTTGGTACGAATAGAAGAAACGGCACATCGGGGTTTATCAATCGAAAGACAGGAGATATCCGCGTACACTGGGAGTTCCGGCAAATTAAAAGGATTCCAGGGTCCGAGTTAATCAAGGATCAATAACACGGTAGACCGAGCCCGGTCCACGGAATAAGACATAAATTTCCCGACATTCCTGATAAAACACCGCGTCCACCGTTCTATTTAGCCATATATTTTTCCCCACGAACGTTCCACAATGGTGTAATACCGTCGTCCCGTAATACACCCTGTGGCTTTGTAATTAAGGGAAGAAAAAGAGGAAGATGGAAGGCCGATGCAGAAGAAAAGGTAAGTCTCATTCTACCAGCGAGGTCATTGATAAGACCACTTAACAGGACCCTGTCCTAAGTCTCAGGTCACCGAAACTTTATTCAGTCACGCTATTTGAATTCAATTATCTCTGCTCGAAATCCAATTAACTCGTCAAAGTAGCCACCTGTAATTTCAGCGATGGTAAAACAAAATTTCAAGAAATACAAATTTTTCGTAGACGTTAATCGAAATTTAATTAACTATTTCAAACGTTCGAATGGACGCAAAATTTCCAATTTATTTCCAATTTCTTTTTATTTATTCCGGTTATTGTAAAGTGACTTTTAAAAGGAAAGTAAGAAAAGGAAGCGAAGGACCAGGTTGGAGAATAGATCTGTACGAAGGTGACGGCTGGACGAGGACATTGGGTCGACGGTGTGGATGTCTATGGTGCAGGAGGGCAGCCACAACTCAGCCAGGGCTGTCCTCCCGTTTCACGGATGGATTTTTCAATTTAGAGGCATCTTTGTCGCGAGGGGACGGCAATTCGAGCGGACAAAAGGAGCCGGCCGGCCGTAGATCTCGCTGAAAACTGGCCCTCCCTATCGGTTCCCCTCGATCGACGGAATAATTCCGGGCGAGGATGAAAATTTCGCGACCCACGCGCGCCTCACGATCGCGCCACGGGATCTCGTGGCCGGCTCGGATAAGTGGATATCACCGGCAAGGAAAATATCCCTGTCCCGACCTTTCATTGTCGTGGCCACCGAGATTTCCCCTACCTTTTAAATCGTTCAATCGAGACAGGCCCTTTGTGGACCGAGCGTCGAACCGTGGATGTGATCGATTGTCCCTTTATTGGCTGCTGTTTTAAATGCCTCCGTTTCTCCTCTATCCACGATCTATGATTTTCCCTGATATTTTAAACGCCCCTTTTTAAATATCCTCGGGGATGCGTCGGGCTGGAGAAAATTGGAAATCGAGACAAAGGAAAAATTTCTGGTCTCTGAGGTTGGACTATCCAAATGACGAATTTTTAATTTTTTATTAAAAATTCAGCTTCGTGGTTCTCAGGAAATTCAGAGCATTTTACGATTTTTCTTTTAACGTGCATACGCATAATCAATTTTTCGGTGCCATCTTTTATTTCATTTTTCCGTTTTCAGAGTTCTTTGCCTTTTATTTCTCTATTCACCGGTTATCCGATCGGTTATGA